TAATCAAATTTTACTCACAAGTATTTGAACTTGATGGATTTTAATCAACCAAACATGAAAAAATCCAAACTTTGTTCAACATGGAATTTAGGGTTAGGGTTTTAATAATTTAAACCTTTAAAGATTAGAACATTAACATTATTTGGGAATTTAAAATACAAAATCACAACAAGTTTTCACACTTTATTGCAATTTATTTGCAAAATTTGTGAAAAACAAGTTTATGTGAAAAATTAGTATACCAACTCAAGCACTAATAAAAACTCCATTATTATGCTCAAGGATATTTTAAAACCAGTAGATTAGTGATGCAAATGTGCATTTAATCTAACCTTGTAATGCTTGCATTAATCAAGGCTTAAAAAAGAATTAAAATTTTCGTTGAAAAACGAAAAACCCTAGAAAAATTGGGTTTTTGGTTCGAATTTGGCTTCTGGACAGCCCTAAAGGGTTGAATCTGTTCTAGAATATTGATTCCACTCAAAAATAACTATTTTTGTGCCAAAATCTGGGTTCGACAGCCAAATCGAAAATAAAATCGAGTTTTAAAATTAATTAAAACGAACATCTAATCTAATTAGAAGAACATGAACCAGAAAATTAAATTCTTTTTAAAACACCTTAATTAAAAAATAATTGAAAAAATTAAAAGGAGCGTGGCTCCGATACCGCTATAGGGTTTCGTAGTGACCCGACACTACGCGGAAGGGAACCCACCAAGACCCGCCCCTTAATTAAAGCAATTAACAAGCATAATAAACCCACCAAAATCTTTGATGCGTGCTTCGCTCCCAAAGAAGAGATCTCCGAAAAGAAGAGATCTCCGACGGATCGTACCCTCGACCCGACCCGAGCCTCCTAAGTCTTGAAGGTTAGTCAAAACCCGAACAAAATAACTATGACTTTTACTAATCAAAGGTTTACTCTTTCTTAGAGTTGCCTTTTTAATTCCACTCAAGGTTGTTCATTTTCCAATACCCAAGCTTGGTATTTATAAGGAAATGAACCCTTGAACTTCATTCCCCAACCAATGTGGGAGAATGAATAATTTTGCTAATTAATTTATTTCTAATCACAATGCAACAAGTGTCAAGGGGAGAGAGAGAATTAGGTGAGGACCATAAACCTTGGGGGGGACCATTGCCTTGCTCCCCAAGGCATGCTCCAAGCCCATTGGTCCCCACTCCCTCAAAACGCCACTCACAAAGGGGTGTTGGGCTGCTGCCAGCTAGCAGTGCCAGCTAGCCCAGCAAGCCAGCACCAGCCCAGCCTCGCATCCCAGCTAGGCAGTGCTGGTTGATGCTTGGCGCTGGTGCGTGCCAATGCTAGGCGCTGGTGCATGCGAGTGCTATGCGCTGGTGCGTGCTGGTGCTGGCCCTAGCTCTCCCACGCACTGCCTCGCACACTCACACACTCCCACACTACGCGCACCCACGCATCTAACCCCTTGCTCGCAATGCCTAGCATGCGTGCTCCTAGCGAGCCACGCATGCTGGGCTTGACGCTGCTTGCTAGCTCTTCCTCGCATGCACTCGCACAGCCACATGCACCATCCTCGCAGCATCCCTATTGCATGCACACACGCACCAGCCCACACGCATCATTGTTGCTTTTGTGCGAGGCTGCGAGGCGAGGCTACGAGGCAAGGCTGCGAGGCACACACGCACACACACGCAAGCCCCTGGCATCGCGATGGTGTTGTGCGTTGTGCCATGCCTTGCGATGGTGCCTGGCCCTGGGCTGCGAGCTGTGATAGCCTGCCACATGCACCCAGGCACCCAGGCTAGCACGCTGCTAGCTGCGATGGGCTGCCTGGTGCTTGTGGCACTTGCGGTGGCTTGCCATGCCCACCCAGGCACCCAGGCTAGCACGCTGCTAGCTGCGATGGGTTGCCTGGGGCTTGTGGTGCTGTGCGATAGGCTGCCATGCGCATGCCTAGCATGCGATGGTGTCTAGCACACCATGGTGCGCCTAGAACACACATGGTGCGCCTAGGCTTGTGATGAGCTAGCCTAGCCTAGCTATGGCTACGCTCATACTTGTTGCTTGTGATTTTGCGACGGTGCGCCTTGAGCTTGCGATGGTGCGCCTAGCACACCTAGTGTGCTTAGGCTTGCGCCTAGCCATGCTAGGTGCATGCTAGCTTGAACTAGCCTAGCATCCACACGGCTAGGCCAGTGTGGTGCTAGGGCTATGTTCGTACTTGTCGCTTTGTGATTTTGCGACGCTCGGTCTCGACGCCCTAGGCTCGATTCCCGACGTCTGTATTCGTAAAACTCTTCTGACTCATTAAATCCTTTCGGATTAATTCGTCGTCTCGGATCGGTGATTCGATTGGGTTCGACCCGAAGGGTTCAGTTAAGATTAAGCTGTAACATCAATTGCACATTGATATTACTGATCGGAAGTGGCCTCCACCTAGGCATTCCGATCACTTGACCTTACTGAAGAATTAGCTCTGTAATAATTCTGAACCCTCTATCGGAAGAATACACTTGTTGGAAGGACACCATTCCTTTCACGCACCAATTCCACTATTTAATTCCAAATAATATAACCATTTATATTACGCTAATTCCATGAATTAACAATTAAAGTCGAAGTAGTACCATTTTTACCTTTGGTTTTGCATCTGCAACCCTAAAAAAAATCCGAACTGGAACTTGAACACCCTTAACAATCCTCGCCGAAGTAATTTTGTCAATTGAAACAATCGACGTACCGAACATTGACCCTCAACCCTAAAACATTCGAAAAAACAAGTAGCCAATTTGAATTGAGAAAAAACCTAGAAGCCAGTTCGAATTGAACTTGAATCAGAAAGAACCTGGATACACCAAGAATTCGAGTTGGGACCTCTTCGAGTCGAGTTTCGCCCAGAATTCGAATTGGTCCTCTTCAACTTGAGATTCAATGAATTCGAATTGAAAACCCAGAATTTGTGCCTTCTTCGAATTTGGTTTCTTCGACTTGAGTTTCGCCTAGATTTCAAGTTTTCATGAAAACTCCATAAACGTTGAAGTTTAACGGCGTCGACGACTGTGAGATACCCACAAGTAATACAACTGATAAACTAAGTAAAACACGTCAGAATAATGAGGCACATCACACATCCAACAAATGACTTATATTAGATGCAATGTCGATTATACCCCGATGAGAAACATAAGTTGTTTCTCATAATGAGGAACTGGGGCCTCCTCTTATGAAAAGTATGTTTCTGCAGAAATTCCCCCGTTAAGCAATCCTACATTGTGTAGGATTGTATTAAAGCATATGATGCATGGGCCTTGTGGTCGAATGAATCCACAATGGTCTTGTATTCAGAAGAAAGGAGGTGAATTGGTATGCAAAAATAGCTATCCAAAGCCATTTATTGATCAAACCACTACTAATGAAGACGGTTATCCTTACTACCGTAGAACAGATTCGAGAGAAAAAGTAAAGATCAGAAATGCTGAGCTGAATAATCAATGGGTAGTCCCATACAACCCATATCTTTCGACACTTTTTTACTGTCCTATATAAGTATGTATACAAGGGCGATGATAAAGTGTCCTTTAATATAAAACAAGATGGTAGATACGCCGCTGATGAAATTACATAGTACCAATAAGGTAGGTGGGTGTCTTCGTGTGAGGCAGCATGGAGAATTTTTGGTTTTGATTTATATGAAATGCACCCTCATGTACTACTTCTGCCACTGCATTCCTAATAGGCAGATGGTATGTGTGCACCCATACGAGCGTTTAGATATGGTGGGGGCAAGGGGAGACCGAGCTTGGACTCCATTGACTGAGTTTTTTGCCATGAATGCTGCTACTGAGAATGGCAGGGATTATTCATATGTAGAATTATGTGAGCATTACGGGTGGGATACCTCTGCCAAAGCATGGTTTAATAAAAAGAAGACTAAAAAAATTGTGATTGGTCGTATAGCATTTGTATCTCCAGTGGAAGGTGAACGCTTCTTCTTAAGACTTCTATTGTTGAATGTAAGAAGTCCTAGGTCTTTCGATGATCTTCGTACAGTTGGGGGCCATGTTTGTGCAAGTTTCCAGGAAGCCGCCTACAAACTAGGCATTTTAGAAGAAGATGATGTAGCAAATGTGTGTTTGTCTGAAGCATGTGAAGTGCAACTACCTGTGGCCTTACGCCGTCTTTTTACAACAATTCTTATATTTTGTCATCCAAGCAATCCTTCTCTTCTGTGGCAAAAATATTACCCTTCTTTATCAGAGGATTTTGTTCGGCAATATCTTTGTTTGGAAAGTAAAATTAAGGAGCTCACTATCAGATCAATTGAGCAGCATCTAGAAGCCATGGGTAAATCGCTTGAAGGATGTGGCCTTGGAGGACTAAACGAAATGAATGATAATGAGATTCGCAGAATCAAGGACATCTTAGATGCATTAGAAGAGCCTATTCCCCAAGAGTGTATTGACAGTCGTAGTTGTTTAAATACAGCTCAAAAAGAAGCTTTTCGGTGTATTATGCAACATATTATTGAAGAAAAACCCAATGCTTTTTTCATAGATGGTCCTGGTGGAACCAAAAAGATATTTTTATACAATGCTCTTTACGCTGAAATTCGTCTTATAAATAAGATTGTTTTACCAACAGCTACTTCAGGTATCGCTGCAACAAATATTCCGTCAGGTCCTACAGCTCATTCAAGATTCAAGATTCCTATTGATAATGAATATATGTTGACATGTAGTGTGTCAAAGCAGAGTAGCCTAGCAGCGTTAATTAAAGAACACTAGGGGAAAATTGCTAATCAGCATCGGTTCAAAACCCCCATTTCGCACCGGTTTTGATTTAAGGGATGCCAAATCCCAAGACTTTTCGCACTGGTTTAAAACCAGTGCAAAAACTTATTTTTTTTTTGCACCAGTTCTTGATGTGAACCGGTGCGAAAAGTCCCCAAAAATATTTAAAAAAAAAAACTTTTAGCACCGGTTCTTTCTTTGAACAGGTGCGAAAAGTGACCAAAAAACTAAAAAACAAACCTTTTAACACCGGTGGATATTATAATTTTGTCCAAAAAAAAAATATAATATAGACAATGAAAATTCCTATTCTTTCTTTCTTTCAAGGGACGGAACTGACCCTCAGAAGTTCTACCAGTTAGGATTTTTCCCAGCGACACAAAAAGGTGTTACAGCAAAGACTTACTACAGTAAGTAACTAGTTTGAAAAGCAGCCTATCTTCTTCCAAGCTGAGGTCTCATTATTTATATTTATACTCTCTCCTTGGGATGGAACAGCCAATGCAGAAGCATCACCAGCATCAACAGCCTTCTTGCTGACGATACGATGGATCTGAGTAAGAACCTTAGTGAAAGCTAGCTCCACATTGGTTGCTTCAAGAGCAGAAGTTTCCATGAAGACGATACCCTCCTGCTCTACAAAAGCCTTCCTTTCTTCAGTAGTAACAGCAACTAGATGCCAAAGATCTGACATGCTACCAATCAGCATGACCACAACATTTGGATTAGTGTGCTCCCGTAGCTCTCTCAACCACCTTGCAGCATTCTCAAATGTAGCTTTCTGGGTGACATCATACACAAGCAAACCACCCACAGCTCCTCGATAGAAGGCACTGGTTATGGCACGACACCTACTTCAACAATAAAGATAGGTCCAATTTAATTAATCGCTGTCATTAACAAATTGGATAAGAGATAATATTAATTAGCTCATAGCAAAGTATGCATACCATTTCTCACAGAAATTAAAATAAAAGAATCAAGTTGTGAGTTCTAGAAAATGGAAGGGAAATAAATCCATATATTAATTTTAGTCATTTTGACTACACTTCATCATACTCTTCCAAAACCTCAATACTCAAATTCTATGTACTTCACAATCTATCCCACCAAGTTCCCAAAGTTTGTTTTTTCAAGGGACTCCATTATTTAATACTTTGTATTGTTTTAGCAAATAATATATCCCATGCATAGTACTGAACAATTTGTCTGAATGAAGCAAAAGCTGCTAGTAGGAAATGAAGAGTATAATCAAACCAGTGCTTTTTTTGGGAAGGATACTCTCCATCTAAGAAATAACATTGACCTACTGAAGCTTCTGCAATGATTCACAAACACACAATAGCACCCAAAGAGAAAACTATTTTAAGAAAGTAAACCAGGATCCTATGCAAAATAATTTATTTAAGACCGTTAATTCGTTAAATATACTATGAAGTGTGTCTCCATGTAAAAAGGAGTTAACACATAAAACAGCAACTCATTATATTTCCCCCCGTAGGATGCAGAGTTTCAATAACCACCCCATCTTGCAAAAGTAAAGCATAGGGTTTTTAAAAGGAGAGGCAAGTAACAATCACAGATAACAAGTATGCACAGCTGCACAGAAAGGCAAAGATACAACCTTTTCTCTATAAAGTAATGCTTATTCAATGTCCACACATACATGAAACATGATGGGTCATGCTTACATCCACAGTAAACTATTGGTTCAGAGCATCTCAATTAACAGCAATGCCTTTATTTTTATTTTTTAATTCTGTCTGTTTATCTCTGATGCATAGAACTATCCTGCATCTTGTTGTATTATTCAGAATATAAAATATACAAAATCACATTTACTACATATCCAACACATAGCAGAGGAAATTTTTACTCAAGTGCCATATAATCTTCTGTTGCTCACAAGTCAAGATACTAGGGAATTCTCAAATGGGAATTCTCATATGAGATGGGCTATTGAGATGGAAGAAATGTTACCCACTTACTCGTGATTAAGTACAAGTCAAAATATTGACAAGAAAAAAGCCAACCCATCTATCGAGTATTAATAATTATTAAAAGAAAAAAATCACCCCGAGGGTATAAAAAAAGCATCTTGTCAATAAGTACAAGTCTAATATATTTCATAACCTATACACCCGATGTATTTCAGAGATCCTATAAATGTTGATGACTCAACCACTGAAGTGAACTACATTTAATAAAGAATTAGAGCTTTTCAGGAAAAACCAAAAAAGAAAATTATGATCGGCAATGGGTGGAAGGATAGTTTCAAATATCAGCAAATGTTGCTATTCTCCACCTCAACCAACAAAAAAAGAAATACCACCTAAACCTAATGTTTCATAATGTACCAATTAGACAATCTTATATACTAAAGATGAGAAATTCTCATGAAAAACTTAAAAGAACAATTGTTAGATCAATAAAATCCACTTAAGATAATAGAAAGCCCCTCAAGAGAGATGCTTAACTGATTAACTCAAACTAGTGATGTCAATGTATATGTCTGAACAAATACATAAATTTGCCAATATATAGCTTGAATCATGACACAGATTAATTAAAGGCTCACATTAAAGGTAGCACTATGTACAAAGGTCACAATGGCTAATTATTTGCAGGCAGTGGCGGATCTAGGATTTGATTAATAGGTGGTCCCATCATCGTCCATCGACCGCATAAAGTATCAAAAAAAAGTCAAAACTTGTATAATGAACAAAAAAAAAATACATAAAAAAGTTCATTTCATAAAGTAATGCAAATTCGTATTACAACTAAAAAATTATTAATTTTATTACAATTGCTCTCGACGAGTTTTCATATTTTGATAACGATTTACAATATCATCCATCACCAATTTGATTAATAATATCAAGTGCACTTAACCTTCCTTCACCAATTTGAGCACTAGGATCCGAACCACCTCGGGGAAAAGATTGCCCATCTTCATTTTGAGTGAAATTGTGAGATGGGGAAGAATGTTGTTCACTAGCATGATGTAAAGGAGAACTTGGTTCACTTTCTTGAAGGGTAAATCATTTAGTGGAGGAGGAGTATCATTTTGTGGAGGAGGAGTATCATTTTGTGGAGGAGGAGGATTTAGAGTACGCACTTTTTTAGTAAAAAAACTTGAAATATCTCGAGTTGTTTTTCTTTTCATTCTGAAATTGAAGTTAAATGTTGAATTAGATAAATCATACAAGAAGGTAGGGTTCTCTCAAAGTTATTAAAACTAATAATATTATCAAAAGAACGCTCATTAACCTCAATTTCAATCCATCCTTCCACCCCAAATCTCCAAATTAGCAATCACCATTCTCAATAGCTAATAAGCAAGTTGGACAACTATTATCATTTATCAATTAAACAGAAATAATACTATAAAATAATAGGGCTCAAATGGTCAAATATCGGCCACAACTCACATTCACAAATCACAACATTCAACCTCTAATAAAATCATACAGATAATCAAGTGACGATAATCAAGTCATAAGATTCAAGCTCTAATAAAGTCATACAAATAATCAAGCTCTAATCAAATCAAGAAATTTCACAAAAAAAAAAAAAAAAAAAAAAAAAAAAAAAAAAACTCATACAGTAAATTCATGAATCGTGATATACATATAATCTGATAATTTTGATAATTAAACATTTAAACTGATGATTTGATATAGAATCTAATCAATTTGCAATGTAATTATGTAAATTAAAAGTTTAAAACTAACCTCAAAACAAAATTGAATTCACGGAGTACGGAATTAAGACCTCACACTCACGCCTGAGCAGAGCCTTGCTGCGGTTGCGGGACGCCGGGACAGACGACTGAAGTTGCTGGCGAGGTCGGCGACGGGGTTGCTGGCCAGTGGTTTTGCTGCGGTTGCGGGCAGTGGACTGAACTAAGTCTCACGCTGCCTCTGTTCTCAGTCTTCTCACGCTACGCCTCAACGCTTGACGGAGTGACGGACTGAAGCTAATAGGATGCCGCGACGGTGAGAAGTTGAGAAGGAGCAAGAAAAACGGCCGGTGAGGCGGTGAACGGCGACGGGGTTGCTGGAGTTTGGGGATTTCGATTTAGGTGAGTTTGGGACTTAGGGTTTTAATTTGGGGGAATTGGGGTTCTGACTTATGTTTTCATTCTAAAGCCAAAAAAAAAAAAATTGTGAGTAATGGGATTTGAACCCACGTCTCATGAATGGTAGGATGGGAAAAAAACCACTAGGCTGCAAGCTAAATCCTTAATACATAGTGTTTTTTTTTTTTATAAAATAATAGGTGGTCCGCGGACCCACTATGACTACACGTGGGTCCGCCACTGTTTGCAGGCAACTAGAAGTCTTTCTCAAGGACCACAATACAATAAATCACTTGATCCAGAACCCAACTACGCCTTTCTATACAACTATAGAAAATAAAAACATTCAGTAGATTAAAAAGCAAAAACACCAGAAAGAAGGGTATGGAACTCATAGCATATTGAAAAATATATATATCCAACCTTAAAAATTATCTGCTAAACTTGTATAAGATGTGGCTTCAAACTGCTCTAGAAGATATATACTCTAAATTAATACTATGATAATACAGAACATTAGATTTTTGCTTAATGTTTCCCAACATCACAAACTTTTCAAACCCCTTTTGAACGCTCAGCAAAACATAAAGCCTGCAATTGACATTTCAGAGTAAGTACACATGTCACCTACTCATTCCAATGCAATATTCTGTTAGAATTTCTAAACATGTAATTATAATATTGAGATCTGATAATATTAACCAGCCTCATATTCTATTTCCTTTCAAACCATGATACACTCTAGTATTTCATATGAAAGAGACAAAGTTATATAAGCAACAACTCTTTATCAGCTTCATTTAACAAAAATTGACACTCAAATCCAATGCTTGAAAAAATTGACTAATGCATACTAATTTTAATCAGTATGAATATAGTGAAACTCAACTTGTTCATAGGCCAATTATAATGAATTAAACTAATTATTTATCAAAACAAACTCAGATTCATAGCAAAGTTATTGAATAAAAAAAAAAAGAAAAAGAAATTGTGAACCCATAATAACGAGTCAAGTTCCAAAATCAACGAACCCACAATACACAATCTACAGATTCTACACAACCAAGGTTAGCAAAAAAATTACTTGAAATTGGGGAAAAAATTGAGCAAAAAGACGCATTAAAAAAAAAGTAAATAAAAAACACAACGTAATACCACAAATTTCAACTAAATCTATAAGAAAATTCAACAAAAAATACAGCATAAAGGAATATAAAGATGAATTTAGTGAAAAGGAGAAGAAAAAATTGAGCAAAAGAGAATTTCATATTAGGGTTTTGTAAGCTTTCTAGGGAAAAAAAAAAAAAAAAAACCTTTCAAGCGCCAGTACCGGAAGCCGTTAATGGTGACGGTGTCTTGGTCAAAAGAGTTGCAGGTGACGGTGAAGCCGGTCTAACTGTCTCTCTAACCGTTCACCACTTGCTTTAAGTCGAACAAGATTCAAACGAAAATCGAAGACCTCACACGAGAGATGAGAGCTGTTGAGTCCCTTAGGTTTTGATTGATAGTTTTGAATGATGACAAACAGCTAAGGGAAACAGGTCTTTGAAAGTGTTCAATACAGTTGGGGGAACCAACTAAAATAGAACACTGTTTTCCTAGATAAGTTATTGATTATATGAGTTATCTATTGAACTAACTTATCTATATACAGGAAACAGCTAGATGATAAATGTGCTATGTACTGGTGGGGAACCAGTATGAACCGTTTCCTTGACTGCTATGCGGAAAAGCAGTCACATACTCTTTATTGTGCATTAACCATGTTACATGTGCAGTAGTTGAGTTGATTCCAAGACTTGGAGCATAGAAGCCTTTCGAAGATATTTCGAAGAAAGATTGTTTGCTCATAATAGAAGTATTCAAGGAAGATTCAAGTCTTGAAGATTACATGAAGAAAAGACGATTTATGCTTTAATATGTTATCTAGGTTTTCATGTAATATGCTCCGTAGTATGCTTGCATGTTTGGGTTATATAAGTGCTTAAAAGTATATTGAAGTATGATATGAAATCTGGTACAAAGTTGGAACAGGTTTCATAACATGTTTCAATTCAGGGAACCAGGTCGGGGAACCAGGTTCACTGTACGAAATATTCGAGCTGCCGTTTTGGAAAAAGATTTTACAAAAAGATTTTTTCGAAAAGATTATTTTGAAAATATTTTGTGCAGCTGGAAATAAGATGAAATATTCTTGGTTACCTAAAAACTAGGAGTATTTATCTTAATTGATTCTATCTTTGTGATTAAATCAAATAAGATAAATACTTTCCTAAAATTACAATATATCTTATTCTCTAAGATTGTGTGATTTAAGGAAACTAGGTTTTAGGAATCTAAGCTTATATAAACTCATCTTATTTCACATATTTCGTGTGCCTCTCCAGAAATTAAAAGAGCAATTATTTGAGAGCATATACTTAAGCACTAATCCCATTCATCAAGTTATATACAAGAGCATTTTAGTACTTAAACTTTTTCTCTTAATTAGCTTCGTAGAAGTGAGATCAAAGGAGAGTTCTTGATTCTTGTATTGAGTCTTTAACAAAGGGGTTAAAGGCTGGGTGAGTGTTTGTGAGTTCAAACACATTGGGCTTACGAGTGTAAGTCGAGAGCACACTCGGAGTAGAGTGTGGGGTTTGCTGGTTCCTGGAGTAGGGAAACAGCAGAGTGTTCTTTGTCTTTGTTTTTCGGAGTAGATTAATAAAGAACTTAGGATAGGAGGACGTAGGCCTGAGTTGGCTGAACCTCGTTAAATTTGTTGTGTTCTTTATTGCTTATTTATATTCCGCTGCGTACGGGAACCAGCACAACTGGTTCCTCACACATAATCCGAAAAGAAGCAAAATTAGCCAACGATTACTTAACACTCAATTCACCCCCCCCCCTCTTGAGTGCCCATTGAACCTTCAATTGGTATCAGAGCCTAAGCTTCTCGAAAGAGTAACATCTAGAGGAGTTAAGAATGAGTACTCAAGAATTAAGTGCAATCGGTTATGACAACAAGTCACCCAAGTTTAATGGAAATAATTATGCTTGGTGGAAGAACAGGATCCAGAATGTTATCATGGGTATTGATTATGAATGCTGGCTCGTAGTTAAAAATGGTCCAAATATCATTCTCAAGACAGATGTTGAGGGGAACCAGGTTCCCAAGAAAGATAGCGAATTGGTCACTGCTGATCACAAGTTGCTGGAGAAGAATGCTAAGGCAATGTCAATACTACAACAAGCAATAGGTGAGACCGAAACAAATCGTATATCTGGCTGCAGTAGTGCTAAGGAGATATGGGACACCCTTGAACTTGCGTTTGAGGGAACCAGTGAGGTAAAACGGTCTAAAATTGATTTAATCATGTCTAAATATGAATTGTTTGCCATGAATAAAAATGAAAAAATCAATGATTGCTTTCGTAGGTTTATGACTATTGTAAATGATCTTAGATCTCTTGGTAAAAATTTATCTGACGAGGATCTTGTGAGAAAATTATTGCGTAGTTTAACAGATGCATGGACAGCCAAGGTAACAGCAGTATACGAAGCAAAGGATCTGTCTACCTTGTCTCTGGAACAGCTGATTGGTTCCCTTATGACTCATGAGATGCTGATTGACTCTAAGTCTGAGAAGGAACCAGCCAGAGGCATGGCGCTTAAGGGAACAGTAGAAGATGATGAAGATGAAATTAGCATGATTGCAAAAAGATTTGAGAGATCTCTTCGAGATCAAAGAAAGAATTTCAAAGGTAAGCATTTTAAAAAACTATAAAAAATCTAACTCTAATTCTTCTTCTACAGGATGTTTCAAGTGTGGAGAAAAAGGACATCTTATTCGAGATTGTCCTAAGTGGAATGACAAACAGTCTAAATCCGGAGATAAACAAGCATACAAGAATGCCATGATAGCTTCCATGTGGGGAGACTCTGACTCAGGGTCAGATGAAGAAGAAGGATCACCCAACTCAGATGTTTGCCTAACTGCCTTTACAAACATCAAGGAAAACAGCACTGGTCCAGGAACCAGAGGGGGAACCAGTACATTCAACAAATGCTTTATGGCAAAGAAGGATGTACTACATGAACGCTAGGTAAGCTTAGAGCAAATTAGAGAAGATATGCATGAATATGATAGAGAAAATATGCTTGCTTGTATTGATTCCTTACTAGATGAATGCTATAAACTAAGTGAAACATACATAACTTGCAAAAGAGAATTAAAAGAAAAACGTGGTGAATGTAATATTGCTATTGCTAGTTGTGATCATCTAGAAGGAGTCTGTTATGAACTAAAAAATCAAGTAGCAGAACTAGAGGTTGAATTGGACAAGTGTAAAGTGGAACTAGAAAAGGAAAGATCGTTTGAACCAATTGATGGTGAAGAGGATCTGACCTCCTGGTTCCCTAGAGACTTATCAACCACTAGTGATACTCTTGATTTTTCAGTAGCTATAAGTAAAGCAAATTCGTGTACTAGAACTTCCTTGTTGAAGGCCTTTGAAACATTGGCTTACAACCTGGAAAACTCTCACAAGGAAATTGCTTCACTTAAAGCTGCACAGTTCACTGTTTCCCCTACAGGTACCAGTGTAGATGTCAGTAATACGATTGATAAGTATGAAAGTAATATTTGTGATTTGCATGCGGAAATCAATCAACTGAAAAAGGACAAGCAACCAGTGATTGTTGACATGTCTATTGACTCTATGGTTTCAAAGCTTAATCTACAATTCGAAGCTTTAAAAAGTAACTTTGATTTTCTTAAAGAGAAAAACGAATTGTTAACTAAAACACTTGAAACCAGAGAAAAAGAACTTAATGATAGTCATAGACATGTGGACAAATTATTGAATGCTCAAGAATCCTTAAATTACCTGACTTCATCAAGAGGAAACAGAGGAAAAGTTGGTCTTGGTTATACTAGACAGAGAACCAGGACTAACTGGTCTCCCAGAGAAACCACCTGGATCAAAGAATATCAACGAGGCAAGTATGTCATGACTAAAGAGATGCATGTGTGTTTTCATTGTGGTAAAAATGGACATAAGATACATGAATGTCCAGCTAAGAAAATTAGTGCTAATAAGAACAGCAAGGGTGTAAAATATGTGTGGAGAAGAAAGGATCAACAAGATGTTAATGTTGTTGAAAAGGGACCCAAGTATGTTTGGGTTCCTAAAACTAATGTTTGATTTGCTCTTGCAGGCTAGAGTGAAGGGAGACACCTATTGGTATTTGGACAGTGGTTGCTCAAGACACATGTCCGGGGATAAAGATCAATTCCTTTCACTAGTGGCCTTTGATGGAGGAAGTGTCACCTTTGGGGATAACAGCAAGGGAACCATCACTGGTTTAGGTAAGGTTGGTAAGACACTTTCTAACGCAATAGATGATGTTTATTATGTTGAAGGCTTGCAACATAATCTCTTGAGTATTTCTCAATTATGTGACAAAGGTAATATAGTTGAGTTTCAAGCCAACCTATGTCACATAGTTAACTCACAAACAGGAGAACTTGTATGTGAGGGAACCAGGAAGCATGATGTTTACATCACCTTCTTAGATAAAATCCCTCAAGACAAGTCCATCTGTTTGAGAGCTGTTTCTGACAATAATCAATGGATTTGGCATAAGAGGTTTGGACATGCTAGCCTAACACTTCTAAACAAACTTAAAACACGTGACTTAGTTGTAGGCCTTCCTAACATTAAGTATGAAGCTGATAAAGTTTGTTCTGAATGTGTAAGGGGGAAACAGGTCAAAATTTCTTTTAAGTCTAAAACTGTTTTGAGTACCAGCAGACCCTTCGAACTTGTACACATTGATTTGTGTGGTCCCATGAGAGTACAAAGTCGAAGAGGTCATAGATATGTCTGTGTTATGGTTGATGATTATTCTAGGTACACTTGGGTAATGATGTTACACACAAAGGATGAAACGTTTGAAGAATGGGTAACATTGGTGAAACAAGTGGAGAACCAGCTCACCCACAAGCTGGTCTCGGTAAGATCAGACCATGGTACTGAATTTGATAATGCTAACTTTATTGATTATTGTAGGGAACATGGAGTTAATCACAACTTCTCAGCCCCTAGAACACCTCAACAAAATGGTGTTGTAGAAAGGAAGAATAGAACTCTTGAGGAGATGGCGAGGACGATGCTCATTGAGAGTGGTCTCCCAAAGAGTTTTTGGGGAGAAGCTGTTGACACTGCTTGCTATATATTGAATAGAGGTCTCATTAGACCAAAGTTAAATAAGACTCCCTATGAACTTCTTAAAGGTCGAAAGCCCAACATCACATACTTTCGTGTCTTTGGATGTAAATGTTATGTGCATAATAATGGGAAGAATCAACTTGATAAGTTTGATCCTAGAAGTGATGAGGGAATCTTTCTTGGATACTCTTCTCACAACAAAGCATATAGAGTCTTCAATAAAAGGACTCTTTGTGTTGAGGAGAGTGTCCATGTCATTTTTGATGAATTTAACATGTCTTCTGAGATTGCGCAGGT